CTTGGTCAATATTGTTACAAATTAAAAGATTGTTTTTTAGAGATGTGTGTGGAATTTGCCAAGGTGGAGATTTGCTGGTTTTTGGCGAAGTCCCACATTGGTTGTGTATAAGGAGGAGGGGAAATTCTTTTGTTATAAATAAAGTCATCCTCCTCCTTAGTTAATTATCCCACAAATATAAGCATTCTTCTATATTAAAGGCTATTTGTATTCTTTCTCTCTTTGTAATATTTCCTCTATTAGTGAAATATTTTGGTGTTCTCTTTTATGTCTATTTAATAGCTATTGTCGGGTATAGTTGTTGTTAATTATTGTCCTATTAAAATTACTTGTCTTGGTAGTTCTGTCTAAGGAAAGTGGGTTTTAAGAGGGACCATTGTGACCCCTCCTCTTTCCTGGGAATATACATTGGGGTGATTTTTAGTACAATCGTTTTCACACTAGTCACCTAGATAATAGTTTCGAAGGTGAATCTGTTATTGGTGGAAATTAACCCGAATTCCACAACAGGTACCTGATGCTGGAAGCCTGATTTTAAACACATTCCTTCGTATAATGTCGGAATATGTCTTGGTCATATCGAAAATGTTCTTCCCTTCCAAGTAGCTACTCCCGAAAGCGGTTCTCGATATAATGTCCAAAGTCAATAACCTGAATTCTTCAAACACCTCAATCTCTTTCCCTTACTGATGTTTCCATGATCGTAGCATCATTTCAACACTAACAATTATCTCAGGAATCATTTTTTGCCATGAACAACCCCTTAACATTATGTGTTCTAGTAACCATTTACTGATAAAGTTTTGTAGTAGGGAACTAGGAAGCTTACTTTGAGGCATTCCCCTTGGAAAGCATGGCTTATTAATTTGCGGTGTTTGATCCATTGTTCACCAACGGATTTGGCGAGGCCATTTCCCATTATCTTCTTGATGTAGAACGGTGGCGACGCCTTTTGAAATGCTTGATCTCTGCTATTCAGCATCTCCTTGATTAACTCTAGCTCTGTAATATCTAGTTGAGGCTGGCCTCCTCTCCAACTAAGGTATTCTTCCCTATTCCAAAAACATATACATACACACATATATCATAATAAGAAATTTAAGAACAAATGAAGAAGATGAAAGCCAGCCTTACCATACTTGTTCTTCCATGTATAAACGTGAGGCAACACTCTGGGGAGTATATCATCTGATAACCCCAAGGGTTTGGTGAGAGCTTCGTTTCTCATTTCCAGAATCTCTTTGTTGTTTCCATGGATGAATTTGTAAGAAGGACCTTTGATTCCTTGCTTACGTAGTTGATACTGCATGCAAATTGGAGTCAACTAAAATCTGTGCAAGAACTTGAAGAGAAGTAAGAGCAAGCATAGGCAAAATAAGCTTGTGATAATCATCATTGGATCTCCCATTTTATGGAAGGCTAATGCTGCATTGTTAATTTGACTTTAAATTGCCTAAGGGTTTGGCTTCATGTGAATGATTATTGAGATTATTTTTACATTCTTTCGGTTTCAATCAACTTCATGTTTCAATAACATATTAATGTTGTCAACTTCATGACCTCAAATCCTTTAATTTTAATTGCATTCTTTCTCTTCCAATTCACTTCCTGTTTCATTAACATGATATTGTCAACTTCATAACATCTCGTTTACCTGTACCTGTAGGTGATAACTAGCAGAGCTACGAGGAGGTATAGGCGTATAGAAGCTGTTGGATTAGAGTTTGACTCGAATTTAAAGTGACACAAATTAATTAATATATAAATATTGAAAAAGTAGGAAATCCAGCTTGATTAAAAGTAGAAAATTTTATTAAATTAAATTTCTTATTTATTTAGTTTTCCTTTGTAATCAAGTATTTATCTCTATAAATAGATACTACGGGTTATGTTAGATATCAAATTTTTCTTTCATCAAAATCATCTTATATTTCTTCCTTCATATTAGTGAAATTCTTCTCCTCTGCCTGTGATTAATTTTTTCCTTTTGGATTTTTCACGTAAATTAGTGTTTTTTATTTTTCTTTTTTTGTTCTTGTTTATTTATTTACCGATAATCATCATTTCGATATTATAATAATTGGATCTCCCATTTAATGGAAGGCTAATGCTGCATTGTTAATTTGACTTTAAATTGCCTAAGGGTTTGGCTTCACGTGAATGATTATTGAGAATATTTTTACATTCTTTCGGTTTCAATCAACTTCATGACATCAAATCCTTTAATTTTAATTGCATTATTTCTCTTTCAATTCACTTCCTGTTTCATTAACATGATATTGTCAACTTCATGACATCTCGTTTACCTGTACCTGTAGGTGATATCTAGCAGAGCTACGAGGAGGTATAGGCGTACGGAAGCTATGATAGGTATTTAGAGTTTGACTCGAATTTTAAATGATACAAATTAATTAATATATAAATATTAAGAAAGTAGGAAAATCAGTTTGATTAAAAGTAATTTTTTTATTAAACTAGATTTCTTTTTTATTTAGTTTTCCTTTGTAATCAAGTATCTATCTCTATAAATAGATACTAAGGGTTAGAGTTAGTTATCAAGTTTTTCTTTCACCAAAATCCTATTGTATTTTCTTCCTTCATATTAGTGAAATTCTTCTCATATTCCCATGGTTTTTCCCTTTTGGGTTTTCTACGTAAATCTTGGTATTCTTTATTTTTTTTCGATCGTGTTTATTTGTTTGTCGATAATCATCATTCTGATATTATAACAAGTTAGTATTAGAGTTTCGTGTTCAAGATTATGACAACAATGAAGTATGATATTTCATTGTTGGATCGAAACATCAGGTTCTCGCTATAGCAGGTAAAGATTCAGAATGTTCTTGCACAGTTAGATATCTAAGATGCAATAGAAGGATTTGATGAGAAACTGATAACACAATGGACGAATGAGAAAAAGCGTTAGGATCGTAAAACAATTTCTCAGGTTCGTTTACACTAATTAAATCAAATTTTACAGGATGTGTTGAAAGAAAAAATAGATGCATCTTTGTGTGTGAAATTGGAGCAACTTTGCAGGTAAAAATCATTGACCGGCAAGTTGCACCTAAAGCAACGTCTTTATTTTCTCAAGTTAGCTGAAGGTTTGTCTCTTGAAGAGAACCTGACCGCATTCAAAGAAACCTTATCTGATCTAGAGACTTTAGAAGTGAAGTAATCAAGAAGATTTATGATTGATCCTCTTATGTTCGCTGTCTCCTTCCTACTCGTCTTTCAGAGATACAATCTTGTACAGTCACGAAACACACTCTTGAAGAAGTTTACAATGACTTGCACTCGTTGGACAAGATAAAAATCTTGTATCTGGTTTCGAGCCCCAGACAGATGGTCTCGTGATGCATGAATTGACTAGTTCAGACAATGGGAGAAAAGACAAGCATTCTTCTGATAATATTGAAAGGGGTAGATCAAAATCTTCCAACCAATGTAAAACTTGTCACTATTGTAAAAAGAAATGTCATTTTAAATCAGAGTGTTACAAGTTGCAAAATAAAATCAAAAGAGAAACTGAAGAGCATAACTCTGGGAAATTTGGTAAGGTCGGTATAGTAGAGGAGTACGATGACGGAGAACTCCTAGTTGCGGCTGACGACAACTTTATAACAAGTGATGAGTGGTTACTTGACTCTGATAGTAGTTTTCATATGAGTCCTAATCGTTACTGGTTTGCGACGTAATAAGTTGTATCTACAGGTGATGTATTTTTTAGAAATATTGTCCCTTGTAAAGTCGCAGGTATTGGCACAATCAAGATTAAGATGTTCGATGGGATTGTTCGAACACTTGATAATGTGAGACATGTTCTAGATTTGAGTAGAAATCTAATTTCCTTAGATACTCTAGATTTAAAAGGATACAAATTCTCCAGTGAAGGTAGAGCTATGAAAATTTGCAATGACTCTCTTGTTGTGTTGAAAGGACAGAGAAAGACTACCAAGTTTTATGTTCTACATGTTCAACAATTTTAGATAATACAGTTGGTATTTCATCAACCGTGTCAAATAATGTTGTTGAACAAAATAAATGTGGGCAGAACGGTTATGTGAAAAAGAAAAGAGTTCAATTTCGTGAACATAATGAATTTGAAGATAGAATTATCATTGATAATCGGGATCGGGATGTGCATAATATTGCTTGTGGTGAAACATTTGTGAGCAAAATTGGCACTTATGATAACCATGTCTATGTGAAGATTACCCCTATGAGGGGTGTTGTGGAAGAGATGGAGAACTTATTCGTTGAAGTGAAAAATTGTTTTTGTTGAGTTTGGGTGTCACATCAAATTTAGGTGTTTTGTCTCGAAACCTTTGCGCTTTCAGAATTCGCGTCAAGGTGGAGATTTGTTAGAGTTTGATTAGAATTCAAAGTGTCACAAATTAATTAATATATAAATATTGAAAAAGTAGAAAACCCAGTTTGATTAAAAGTAGAATTCAAGGTGGAGATTTGTTCGTTTTGATTCATTTTCTATATAGGATACTAGATTCAAAAAATTAAACTAAAGAGCATAATTCTGCAATTTTTATTTATTTTCGGAATCAATGTTAGATTAGTGGGATTGACTCTGAGCATGACGCATCTCCAATTATTTTTGAACAATTTAAATCCCCTTTTTCTCTAATCCTAATCTTATATTCCTTTTTTTTTCTTTCTAAATCCCTATTATTTTTCATCTTTATCTAGATCTAAAATTGAAAAGTTCACAACTACAGAAACTCCAAAGTCCATGGGACCGATCTTACTTCTTTTTGCTACTCTTTACTTTTATTTATTTATTTTTGAGAAAAAGAAATTATTTGACAATAATACGACGCTTGTCAAGCCATGAAAAGAAGAAGAGGCTTACCAATGGTGTACATTGGAAGATGAAGGATAGATTTACACAGAGTCAAAACATTGTTCTAACCAGTTTCGAAATCCATTCCGAAGGAAAGCTAGAGATCGACGAGTAGCTTATACAAGAAGCAACCAAGAACAACTTTAAAGAAGTATAAACTGAGATTTTATTCAGAGGTAGAAAACATGCTTATATGGATACAAAGGTTTTTGGCCTAACTATTAGTTAGGAATATCAGTTTTATAACTGATTAACAGATGTTTATTGCACTGCCACATCATTATGGTTACATACTTAAGGTTACATACATTATTTTAAGGTGATATATGAACTTGTTTTATGTTTTCTAACTTGGGTTTTCCTCACTCTGCAAAGAGTGGAGAATAACCTGAATTCCATGCTGCGGGACAAGCAAAGAATTTAGAACAGGCGAGTGAACATAAGCAGGGGAGAGGGTGAATCTGTATCGTTGTAGTATCATAGTGAGGACAACTTTTGCCACCATGGTCGCAAAGTTGAAACCGACGCAGGTTCGAGGACCAATCCCAAAGGGAAAATATGCTGACACATTGTTGTTTGTAGCTTTGGCCACCCCTTCTGAAAATCTCTCAGGTTTAAACAAATGAGCATCATCACCCCATATTACGGGGTCGCGATGAACAACCAAGTTTGAAATGAACAAGTGAAGGTTAGCAGGCAGAATCATTTTCCCCAATCTAACTTCCCTTTCACATTTCCTTACAAAGACGAGTGCAGGAGGATACAGTCTTAGGGCCTCATTGATTATCATGGTTATCTGCAATGATGGAAAAAGAAAAACAGATAAGCTATTTGGATCATATACAATGCATGATTACTAACTTAATTTCTTACAGTGTTTAGTTTAGACAAGTCATTTGGATGTGGATTTTGGTGACCAAAAAACTTGATCACTTCTTCTCTTGCTTTGTCTTGCCAATCTGTATGGATTGCCAGCAGCAAGACAGTCCATGAAATCAAGGAATTGCTGGTTTCTTGACCAGAAATGTAAAATGTCTTGCACTCGTCAATCAAATCTTGTACGAGAATCCTTTTGTTTTCATCAACATCATAATATGCCTGTAAAAGCAATCCAAGAAAATCATTACCAAAGTCATCTCTGTCCCCAAGTTTCACTTTTTCTTCTCTTTTCTTGATGATTCGCATCACGGAGCTGCGCATTAAACTTAGAAGCTTGTCTGCTTCAGTCTCGTCCGACGTTTTCCAAATTTCACTGTAAAACAAGAAAAAAAAACATTCATATCAAAGTGCATGGTACATGATTAGGCTAAGGTGGAAGGTACCTGATGCCTGGAAGCCTGATTTTAAACACATTCCTTCGTATAATGTCGGAATATGTCTTGGTCATATCGAAAATGTTCTTCCCTTCCAAGTAGCTACTCCCGAAAGCAGTTCTCGATATAATGTCCGAAGTCAATAACCTGAATTCTTCAAACACCTCAATCTCCTTCCCTTGCTGAAGTTTCCATGATCGTAGCATCATTTCAACACTAACAATCATCTCAGGAATCATTTTCTGCCATGAACAACCCCTTAACATGATGTGTTCTAGTAACCTTCTAATGCTAAAATCTGCAGTAGGGAACTAGGAAGCTTACTTTGAGGCATTCCCCTTGGAAAGCATGGTTTATTAACTTGCGGTGTCTGATCCATCGTTCACCTACAGATGTGGCGAGGCCATTTCCCATTAACTTCTTGATGTAGAACGGCGGTGGCGCTTTCTGATAAGCTTTGTCCCTGTTATTCAGCACCTCTTTGATCAGCTCTAGCTCTGTGATCGCTAGCTGAGGTTGGCCTCCTCTCCAACTAAGGTAATTCTTCCCTATTCCGAAAACATATACATACACACATATATAATAATAAGAAATTTAAGAACAAATGAAGAAGATGAAAGCCAGCCTTACCATACTTGTTCTTCCATGTATAAACGTGAGGCAGCACTCTGGGGAGTATATCATCTGATAACCCCAAGGGTTTGGTGAGAGCTTCGTTTCTCATTTCCAGAATCTCTTTGTTGTTTCCATGGATGAATTTGTACGAAGGGCCTTCAATTCCTCGGGAGCCTAGTAGATTCTGCATGTAAACTGGGGTCCACCAAAATCTGTGCAGGAACTTGAAGAGAGCTAGGAGCAGGCAGAGGAAGAAACAGCCTGAGAGAAGAAGCATGATTGGATCTCCCATTTCTCGATTGCTCGGTTCCCTGTTAGGAGCTCTACATTAATGGGAAGCACGTGGAAGGGCAATGCTGTTTGATACAAAAATGTCAGTTTCTTGGTGGGGACGAAAGGTGGAGCGCAAAACAAGATTAGATGCCAAATGACCGAAGGTTTAGCTCCATGTGAATCATTATCGTGTTTATTAAATATTAAACTTATAGATTTGGATAACAATTCTAATCCAGAAATGAATAAATATAGTCTATAGTAGATCAAATATCAACGTTTATGAGTGGGGATGGTGGTGGTTAGGTGTCTCCTTCATGGGGATTGAAATACCATGGTGAGTGAATCAAAGTTTTAAAAAAGCAGATAGCTGAGTCAGTTATTGCTCGTGAATCGTGCAAAGTACTGAGTCAGAAATGAGTCGGCAATGCGATGCAGCAAACAGCGCAAGAATAGTCTTTGTTGCTTATCATAGAGTGAAGATGCGTGCTGGGTTAATTCTGCCAACTGCTAATTGGTCCAATGTCACATTTGTTTTATCTTATAAAAAATAAATCACGTGTTTGTGTTTTATATTCATCAATATAGTTTAAATAATTTGTGAAAGAAATTTAACTAATTTGTTGTTGTTGTTGTTATGCCATCAGTGGTTTTCAAGAAGCACACGGTTTTGTTCAAGTGAGAGGATGACATATTTCATGGATTAAATTTGTCCTTTCTATAATAAAAAATAGAGTTTTATATTTTTGATTTTTTTTGGATAAGTAAAAGATTTATTTATCAAAAAAGAATCAATAAGTTGTTACAAAGAACAATACAAACACTATGACAAATCTCAATCTAGACATAGCCTCCTATTTACATCGTCCATCAAGTTCATGCTGCATCTATACAATTTAATTCTTATAGACTCTCTAATTTTATGTACAATTGCATCGACCGAACGAATCATACCTCTAAATTGCCTATGATTACGTTCCTCCCAAAGAATATAGACAAAACCAGTCCAAGCAATCTTGAGAATACGAACAAGAAGGGATTTACCCTTCAAATTCAAGGTCAGCCAGTGTAAGGCATCATCCCAGCAAAGAAGCGTCTGCTTCTGAAGACCACAAGTCTACAAGATTACATCCCATACCTCTCTTGCAAAGGAACATTCCAAAAACATATGATTCCGAGATTCCTGCTCAATTCCACATAGACCACAAATATTATCAACCTGAATTCCAAATCTGGCTAATATGTCCTTGGTAGGTAGCCTATCTAGAATCACCATCCAGGCCACAATAGAGAATTTTAGGACATGAGCTGGGAACCAAATCAATCTGTGCCAATCAACCTTGACCCGCCTCTCACGGATTTGGTCCCAGATCCATGCACCCTTAATCTGTGACAAGTCAGCAACATAACAAAACAATCCCCTAGCCTCCTCCCTCAATTTAATCAGCTTACTTATGATCTAGCTAAAATGAGGCTTACAGTCAACTGTCCAAAAATCCATAGACTTGAAACAATAAGTTTTAAGCCAAGCAATCCACAAAGAGCCATCATCAGCTAGAATGTTTCTGATGAGCATCATGCATCAGGCCTTACTCTAATCAGCAAGCTTCCTCAAGCCCAGACCACCCTCAGATTTCAAAGAACAAACCTGACTCCAGCTCACTCTAGCCCCCCTTGCTGAAGTATTACATCCTTTCCAAAAAAACCTCATACATAATTTTTCAATATCTCTGATGACACCCTTGGGCAAGACAAGTTGCCTGCTCTAATAGCCAAATATACTAAACAGAACCGACTTTACCAACTGTAATCTCCCCCCAAAACTTAAGTGCTTACTCGACCATTTATCAATCCTATCATTGATTCTCACAAGTAAAGTTGAGCAATCCTTGCTAGAAAGTTTTCGAGTGACCAAAGGCACACCCAAGTACCTAACAGGCAGCTGGCCATTTTTAAAACCAGTAGCTGTACAAATCAGATCCAGACTACACCAAGGCACCCCACAAGCAAACAATTCAGACTTCATAGCATTAAGCCTTAAGCCAGAAAGTTCATAGAATCTGTCTAAAATGCTAATAACTCCCAAAACAGACTCTAATGATCCATGGCAGAAAATGAAAATGTCATCAACAAAACAGAGATGAGCAAGGGAGATTTTTTTGCATTTTGGGTGGAACCTAAACACACCATGCTTAACAGCAACATTCAACAATGATGAGAGAACATTCATCACAAGAACAAAATAGGTAGGGGGATAAAGGATCTCCTTGCCTAACTCCTCTAGCACCCATAAAATATCTTACCAAACTACCATTTAAGGAAATGGAGTACCTAGGAGTTGTTATACAAGCTTTAATCCAACCACAGAATATTTCAGGCATGCCCAAGGCTTGAAGGACTGGCTATAAAAAATCCCAAGAAACATAATCGAATGCCTTTTGGAGGTCAATCTTTAAGGAACATCTAGGAGAAAGGTTTTTCCTAGAATAACCCCTAACAAATAAATTTTATTTATATGTTATCGAGAGATTTTATCAAATAATTTTTTTAAATAAAAAAAGGTTAAAAAATTATTTTATTAAAAAAATCAATTTTAATATAAAAATGAGTGTTCAAATTATTCAATTTTTTCTTATTCGAGTGTCTAATGTTATTAACATTATTATTTTGAATCTCATAACAGTAATTAAATAATTTATTTTTCTAAGAAAATTTTTAAAATAAATTATTATATTTTAAAAAATAAAAATTTCCCCCACCCACCCGGTCTCCTCTCCCTCCCCTCCCCTTTCTTTTGTTAAACGATTGGATTTAGACCCACCTGAACAAAGTATTGCATTGACACCCGCCACTTTCGTTAAACGATTGGAAGAAGAATTGAGAAATATCGATGTTCTTAAACGTGAACTTTCTACTGCTCATTTTCTTGTTAATGGGTTCTTTTTTTATTTTCTTTTTGGAACAGAAATAAAATCTCATGGGTTGCTTGAATCTTCTTACTGCTCATTTTCTTTAATCTTTGCCATTGTATTGTGACATCACATTACGTTCTTTGAATCGACGTCTAATCACATGGGTTTGTAAGGCGGCACTGCTATGCTGTCAATTGTTTGTCAATTCGTCGATTTACGTTGACCGGAGGTATTGTGGTTTTGGCCAGTCGGCAATGTTGGAGTTATCGGCAGGTCGGCGTTGTTGGTTGCGACTGGTGACCGTAAGGGATTAGAATTATAATTTTTTTAGGGTTTTTTAAATTATATTTTAACTTTTTATTTTAAGTAAAAAATTTCAAATTATTATGCGCATGTATCATTTAATTAATTTTTTTAATAATATTAGGGTATGACACTTAAAATGATGACACTTATAATATTAGATACGTGAATTGACTGAAAAATATTTTAAGAATCTAAATGAGAAAAATGGATAATTTGATATTTATTTTTATATTAAACATAAATTTTAAAATCTTAATTTTATTATTTAAATTTATGTTGTTTTAAGTGTAAATTATACAAGTTAAAAAAAAAGTTTAAATTGTATGAATTTGAGGCTCAAGTTTTCTATTTCCTATCGTTTTAAATTCTAAGAACCATTTATCCCTCGTAATAATTTTTCATGCGAACCGAACTACTCATTACTTATTCTTGATAAGTGGGTTGCTGTCAGTTTGATAATAACTCGAAAAAGCGAGTCAGAACCCACTGGGTAATCTGTTTTGGGTATTTGTCCCAGTATCTTCTGGTAAATGCACAAATTTAGTAACAATAATCAAGCCCTTGACTCGGTCATCATCTTGTCTCTCTCTTGATTTTGCCGTTGTTTTCCTATTATAAACACAAGTTGTAAATTGACAAGTAACTAATCTCATCATGATTTGGTAGAATAAATAAACAAACTTTGAAAGGGTCTATCAGAAAACAACAGTCATATGAGTTATACGGTACCTTATTTTTCATCATTTGACATCAAACTACGATAAACTTGAACTAAAATATAAAATTATAAATCCGGCCTAGTATTGGTGAACCATTGATTATGACCACTCAAAGTCAAGTTCTTTGCCAAACGTCATTTTGCCAGTAGTATCTGGTATTGTTTATTAGGCCGTAATCAAAACTATGAGCTGGTGCTTACCAGATATTAAGCCTCCGGAGGCACGGCACCGCGAATTTTTGGTGCTGAACAGCTAGAACGACATCGACCTCCACCTAATACCGAGATTGCTGATATATATTCTAGCTTTACATACATTGGGACAAACCAAAACCAGATAGAATGATCTTTCTTTGCTTGAAATGTATATACATTTTCATCTATCTGTATTTTCATCAGAAACCATATGTTTCAGCATATGAATCTGCTTATTCTCCATTGGAAACCATTCTTCTCGATTGTGGCTCTTCAGCTATGATAGCTTTATCTTATGATGGCCGGAATTGGACCACTGACAGCTCACATTTCATCGCTTCTAACTCCGGTAACAGCTTCCCTGTATCTAGATCGTCTTCGGAAGTGACATCTGTGCCTGAAGTTCCCTACATGACTGCTAGGATCTTCCACTCCCAGTTTACTTACACATTCAATGTGACCCCGGGCTCGAAGTTCGTTCGACTTCACTTCTACCCCGATTCTTATACGAACCTTAATGCCACGAAATCTTTTCTCTCTGTCACTGCTGGAAACCTTACTCTTTTGAGAAACTTCAGTGCCTACCTCCATACCAATCACATCAAGTCACCTTACTTTTTCAAAGAGTTCATCGTCCATGTCGAAAATAGTACACTAAACTTAACGTTTAGCCCTTCAACAAACGGTACCAACAGCTACGCTTTTGTGAACGGGATTGAAATTGTTTCGATGCCCCTTGATCTTTACTATCTAGACAACAATGTATCTGCAATGGAGACTATGCATAGAGTTAACGTTGGAGGCCGAAGCATACCTCCTAATCAAGACACCGGGATGTCCCGTAGTTGGACGATGGATTCAACTTACATCTTCGGATCAGCTTTTGGAGTGGAGAATTATGATTTTGATGCTTCAATCACATACACCAAAGAAGTTCCAGCGTACACTGCACCTGAAGAAGTATATAAGACAGCTCGTTCGATGGGTCCTTCTTCCGAAATCAACATAAACTACAATTTAAGCTGGACCTTTCCTATAGACTCTGGCTTCATGTATGTTATCAGGGTTCATCTGTGTGAGATTGCAGGGGAGATAAAGATAAACCAGAGGGTGTTCGATATATTCATCAACAACCAAGTTGTGCAAAGAGGAATCGACATCATTGCATTGGGATATGGCAATGATGTTCCTTTATACAGGGACTATATTGTGTTGGTTCCAAACCAAACTATGAAGCAGGATCTAGAGCTGGAGCTACACCCGAACCTCAAAACTAAGCCTCAGTACTATGATGCCATCTTAAACGGAGTGGAGATTTTCAAAGTGAGTGATAGTGATGGAAACCTTGCCGGACTCAATCCTTCATTCGAGAATGGATCGAGCGATGACGGAGATGAGCCATCTTTCAGTTCAAGTTCATCGAAAAGTTCAACCACAGTAATACTTACCATCACTGGCAGCTTGCTAGTTTTTGTTCTTGCAATATCCCTTTGTGTTTACTTGGTTGCTTTTCTGCGCAAGAGAAAACTAGAACAGGCAAGGAAGAAAAATGCCAAAAGTTCATCTTCATATCAGTCTTTCTCCATCAGTGAAATCAAAATGGCAACCGATAACTTCAATGAGGCAAAGCTTATTGATAAGGGTGCATTTGGTCTAGTTTATAAAGGTTACATGGACCGGGGGAGTATTGCAATAACTATAAACCGAGTGATTCAGGCGATATCGAAACAGGAGATGGATAAATTTGATGCAGAGATAAGAATACATCATCATATTCGCCATCAAAATCTCGTCCAGTTGATTGGTTATTGCAAGGAAGAACATGAGGTGATACTCGTATATGAGTCCATGCCCAATGGCACCCTCTTCGAGCTCCTCCATTTCGCCGATCAAAGGCAGCAATCTCCTCTCTCGTGGAACCAGAGGCTCGAAATCTGTACTGGAGCTGCACGAGGCTTACATTATCTCCATTCTTCTATGGCATCCCCCATAATCCATGGTGACATCAAGACCAGCAACATCTCTTTAGATAGGAACTGGATGCCAAAAGTTTCAGGTTTTCTGCCATCCAAATTAGCACTGATGATGTCACCTCATAGCCGTATTAATCCCAACATGAAGCGTACCATTGCACACCTGGATCCTGAGCATTATAAGCTTCGAAATCCGACAGAAAAATCAGATGTGTTTTCATTTGGAGTGATGCTGTTGGAACTACTTTCTGGAAAGCAGGCCATTAATCCAGAGGCTGATGCTACTAATGCTAACAACGAGGAAAGCTTGGTTCAGTGGGCATTAGCTTGCATCGAGAAAAGTGAGTCTGACCGACTAGTGGATCGGCATTTAAACGGAAAGATTGTTCCAGCATCACTTGCAAAGTTTGTGGATATCATAGAGAAATGCTTGGCAGATGAAGGGGAGAATCGACCATCCATGATCGAGGTGCTTGGCAGCCTAGAGTTGGCACAGCAACTGCAATTGCAATGTCTTGAAAACTCAAATAAGTCAGCTACAGACATGGTTTTTCATAGTAGCTCAAATTTTATGCCAGGACTAGAATTCTATGGTGTAGGCCGTTGAAACTTCCAAGCCATTCAGAAATGAATGCCCAAATGGTATTTGAATCAGCTTGTATTCCAATCCACTAAACAAATGGTCAAGTATCCTAAAATTCGATGACAAAATCGAATTAGAAACCAAAAGCTTCAAAATCCAACCAAGTAGAAACCAGGGCACATTCATAATTTAATCCTGCATGATTAATAAGGGTGATTACTCACTATTTCAATGAAAAAGATTGTCCCACCTGCTTTACAATCAAATTGAAGGCATGCATTTATAAACCTAGAAAACCATTTTTCAAAGGCCAAATTTGTAGTAAAATTACAACAATTGCATAGTACAGTCAAATGGTGTATTTACAGCTTCAGCAAAGCCGATCCAAACCCAGCATCTCCACTGCAACAAACATGTCCTTTTAGGCCATTAAAGCATCAGGGAAAAGATCCTAAAGGGGGGACACAACTGTGTTCCTCTTAGCCCCATAATGTCCATGGCCATTAATAAATACACAACACAAACTTTTTTCATCCACACACCAACCCCTCTTTTCCTTTATCTCAATACACACTTTAGTAGTATTATATTTACAAAGGTCAAATTATGATCTTGGTCCCTCTACTATATATACTAAAATTTGAGATTTGTAGAGATTTAATCTCAAATTTTAGTAGAATAGAGGGACCGAAACTCGTAATTATACAAATGATGGTGTTTGAGTTTAAGCCAAGAGCCAGAAATCTTTGTGCCGCTTAGTGGTGATCAAATAACCTCCAAGTTTTTTGCTTTTTCTTCTCACTGCAACTGCCATGCAACTGGCGTTTTGGATGCAGTACTCCACGACGCCGCCGGTTATCCGGCTCCCCGCCCACATCATGAGGAGCCGCCATGTCATGGACTTCTTTTTATGCCCCAAAACCAGAAGCGCCGCCCCTTGCTTTTTGGCCTCTTCCACTATTGTTGGACCTTTCTCTTTTCCCTCCACCACAGCTACCTCAACTTCTACCTGTCACATACAATGTTTGAACTTTTAATTTCATTGATAAAAGGTGTCAATTCATGGCTGCCTCAACTATCAAGAAAACGATCTACTTGTATGTATAATTATAGAAGTTAATGTTGTCTAATTATGATTATAGTCCCTTTACTATGTTGAAAATTGTGATTTAATCAATTTATTATGTTATTGGTAGGTCAAATACATAATATCATTAATTGCTTTAGTTAAAGTGATGACATGTATATATATGTATATTGGAAAAGTCTTAAGCATCCGATTGCCATACAAAGATAAAATTAAGATAAAACATTAGGATGGTTAAATAATTAATTTCGAAATTGATAGAGACTTAAATTGTATTTAAACCATAAGGAATATGATACTTAATTTTTTTTAACATAAATGATAAAATAACAACATAAAAACAAGTTAATATCATCATTTTCAAAATTTGTAAAATAATAGTTTAGTCCCTTCAAAATTGTGAAATCGTTAGTTAGTACATTAGAAAAGCTATAGTTTGACCCCTTTAAAAGTTTATAAAAGTCTAACCCCTAAAATAGTTCTATCTTTATAACTAGGATTGTTATCAATTTAGAATCACTAATAATATTATAATTAAAATAAAGAGAGAGAAAAATCTTAAATTTTAACATAATAAAAGGTCCAAAACCATAATTATATCAATGTTAAGCCAACCTCCGGTCTCTTCTGATTGCACATGGTCTTCAAGCTGGAAACTGGTTCATATCCCCTCGAAACTTTGTTCTTGTTGGACTCATCATTTGTATCCATCACTGTATAATTAAAAACCATTAACCAAAAGCATTCTTTCATGGTGAAAATGATAAGAAAATTCGAATTCCAAGATGGGATATAAAGTTAAAAGAAATCGGATTTTAGGAGGAGACATACAGCTCCAGAAACCTTGTTTTGATGGCTTTGTGACAGAGAGAAGAACCACCGTGTCATGACACTGGACAGCATGAGACAGTGCCCACTGCAAAGCTCCCTTGGCTTCAATGGTGGAATCGACGACTACCATGATTTTCCGTCCGAGTAAAAAGCTTTGTCCATGGTTATGATCAATAGTTGCAGGTGCAGCACGATTCAGATTAGCCTTGGCTTGCGTCGGAGGAGACCGGACTCGAACACGAGGCCTTATCCTGTTCAAGCAAAAACTCGGCAAGCGAGTGGCTGTTCTTCTGCCCATGTCCTGAGATGAGAATCTTGAAGAAGAAGAGAGCTTGGTAATAATGATGGCAGGGTGTTTTGTTTCCCTTTTATGTTCGATTGTGGGGGCTGTTCCTCAACGTGCTTATCATGAAGTTGTAGGACCATCCTGCCATGTTAGTGTTTAATTGTTTCCTTTCTCTGTCTTTCCAGTTAACACCCAAATTCTTCTTGTTTAAGATTCTCTTATATTCTATCATCATATATATCAACTCTTAAACTCTCAACACTCTTTTTTTTTTCTTTCACTAATACAATATTATCATATATCAATCTATAAATTTATAATTTTCCAATGGATTTATAAAAATAATACGGTTTTTAACTTCACCTTTAGGTTTAGTTACAAAATAAATGCTCAAATTCTTTTTAAGTGTCTAAAAGTATAACGTTTTATTTTATAATCATTCTATCAGGGACGTTAAAAAAGTTTGTAACCCACACATTTCTTCTACATTTCCCCTTTTTTTTCTTTCTATTTTCTATGGAAACAAACCAAAACATAAAGAGAGGCCAGATCGGAAGAATTTAAAGAAGAGGAAAATTTATTTTGGACACCAATAGAAGCTCTAGGTCTCAAAAGCCAGTCCCTAACACTTCAATTCTAATCTATGTCCTTCAATAAATTTTTGGGTAAAAATATACAAATGGTCCCTCGACTATGGCGTGTTGCTTTGTTGATTCTCTCAAATATTAAAAATTATAAAATGGTCACCCACTATTCATATATTTCAAACTCGTCTTTTTCTGTAAAAAGATTAACGACCGAGACGGTTGAACGATAACCTATTGATTGAGATACGATGAAATCATATTTTAATGATGCTTACCGACACATTCGTTGCTTTCAATCACTATCTCGACAACATAATGCTTTCAGCATTGATTTAATGACATAATGTAAACAGAGAGTCGATCGATAAAATATAGCTCAAATGGTTATGGGAACAAATTTTATCATATCTCAGTCAATTAGTTAACGTCCTATAGTCGGTAGTAGGGATTTAAATAACAGTTTGCGATCGCAATAGCGTACATGATATAGCGGTATCGATACTGTCCGATACTGTAACACCCCCAACCCATATCCGACCCGGATACGAGTCCGAAGTGTCACGTTATCTTTTCAAACATTTATTCGTATAAAATATTGAGTAATTTAAAAACTTTTATAACACTCAACTTATTCAAAACGTTTACAAAATTATTCAGAGTTTATACAATATATTCTTTTGAATACATGCCAACTAGAACTTATAATAAAGTACAATATAATCACCTCTTTCTGATCTGACATTGAGTAAGGAGAACTGACCTGTTACTCCACATCGCTCTTTACTCTCTCCATACCTACGTGTAAATCACTTACACGCTAAGCGTTGACTTAGTGAGGCTATAAAACATATAATAAAACCACAAACCATTTCATATAACATAATGCATACTTATACATATCATAATATATTTATCAGTACTCATATCATTATTACTAATTTCTTTCTATCATGTAAGCATATTGAACCTTTCTATACTCACCATCGAGTATCCATGTCATTTCACAACAAGCATATAGTAACAAGTTATTTATTATTTTAAAGCCCTTGCATTAGCCCATGTATACATTTGAGAACTTAAGGTATGTGAGTACATTGTCTTTTACCTTATTACATATTTCACATCAATCACATTTTTATTCCTATAGCTCTTTATCACATGTTCATATGATCTTATCACCTATACCTTTTCATATAACCTACATATACATACATACATACATACATACATACATACATACCATACAGACATATACATACATACATACATACATACATACATACATACATACAGACTACATACATACATACATATACATACAATAACATACATACACATACATGCATCATATTATCATACTCCTATAGTATTTATCTCTTTATCTGTTCATTTTAATCCAATAACTTATATAAATGTATATATATATCACGTATACTAGTTCCTAGGTCCCATAACACTACAATATTTTCATATATTTGTAATCACGTAGTTATTTTTCAAATAATTCATGTCACCCATATGATTTCATATTCATATGTTATTATTATATTCTTTCTATGTCCTTTCCATACTTCTTATTTCATATTCTTTATGAAATCATATTGATCATTTAACTATTTCACATATTAAACATTTATCTACCTATTTACACAACTTATAAATATATATACTGTAACATGTCAATACATATGCTCATCATACATATAAACCATAAAAAACACATCACACACACTTCATATACCTAATATAGATATCTCGTAACTCATTCAATCCCATATGACACATATATTCATATTCTGGAAAATAGACTTACCACAATCTGCATAGTATATCCCATAATGCATATGGTATGAATTCATATCATCTTTAATAATATTGAATGAATCATGTATCAAGATATTAAATCTAGACTTATCGCAAGTCTAGAACTGAATATACTAACATAATCATGTTATGCATATGCACTCACCTTAGCCTTGTTTGAATTGAATCAATTCTAACCCTTCGATTACTTTGAATCAAAGTCACGTTCAATATTTACATAATTTACATTGATACATATCAGTATTAATTACTAATCTATTTCTTAGACCAAAAGAAAGGTTTATTTCTATTTCTCTTGAAGTGCATCGATGCATTCAACAGTGCATCGATGCATTCTTTAGCATGTACATCGATGCAGTTACCGAGGATCTTTATGACCTCTGGATAGTTACCGAGGATCTTTATGACCTCTGGATAGTTACCGAGGATCTTTATGACCTCTGGATAGGTCCTTCGGAACATTCATTGAGCTGTGGTGACAGCATACGTGTGCACAACCTCATAATACTCGTATTCCTTGGGTTATCAATAGTGTATATGGGCTTAAATAGGACATAACGAGGATATATATAATTGTATCTTAATATGGTATTATTATGATTTATATTGTCTCATATGTGGTATAATAAATGATAGTATGATAGTATAATTGCGTTTGGATAGTAGACGACAGTTTATATTTAGTATTTCTTTATGTAATTATGCCTCACTAAGTCTATGACTTAGCGTGTAAGTGTTTTTACACGTAGGTTTCGAAGAGCATGAGAATCAAGAATAGGAATTTGCAGATCAACATATCTCCACTCAGCGATCAGATCAGAAGGAAAGTCATAGTAGGTATTTTGTTGTATGTAGTGTGTTGGCATGTAAGAAAAGTGTTAGTTACAATGCTCTGATTAGTTTTGTCTGTTTGGTTAACTCTGTACAATGACAATGTTATTTTAATAAAAGTTTTAAATTTCATTGGTTTTCGTTAAAAGTTTAAAGTTTGAAAAGTCAATGTGACACCTCAGACTTGTATCCGGGTCGGATACGGGTTGAGGGTGTTACAGATACCGCTATTGTATGACCACAATACCCGCAATTGTATGACCACAATACCCGCAATTACCACAATAACAAACACTATGTCTGCAATCGCGATAAACACAACGCAACTAAAAATGAGATCACAATCGTTATTTAAATCCCTGATCGATAAATCATTTTATAACTTTTATTGTCGAGACTCAACAAAGAGTATTTGGGGTAAGTACAAGAGTATTTGTTTAAAAATAACTCTCAATCATCTGATAATGAATGCTCATACCTCTGACATTCATGGTGCTCGAACCCAAAGACCTTAAAAAGTAACAACGATTCTTTTACCACAAAAATCATTTGATTGATTAATAAATATAATTTAAATACTTAACCATCTTAAACACACATTCATCTTGAACATATATTCATATCATATACTCGTATTAAAGCTTAATATTAATCATAATAGAACTTTATTCTATAAACTTTTGACTTTCCCTTGCTTTTGGTGGTTTATGTGGCGTGACTAAAACGCCACCAGCTGCTCATGCTGAGAACAAAACATAATTAACAAAGAAAAAGAATACTGTTTTTGAAGCTGTTAGAAGCAAGACGATTTGCAAAAGCATAAAAAAGGGGTCAGTCAACTCATGATTTTAATTTCGCAAAGCTAACAATACTTGCAAAAAGTAAGGTCCAATGGGTGAGTGGTCCCTTCCAAATTCATTTTTTATTAGTATATAATAATAAGATAGTAAGGAGAGCCACACTTCCTTTAACAACTGATATTACTCAATAAATTTGATCCATTCCGAATTCTTAACTTCTTTTGATTTGACATTTGCATTAAGCAATTTACCACTTCAATGCCCCGTATGTTTCCACCAATGTCGTTAATCTAAGCTATTAATCTTTCTATTCGATGAATCAAGTTATGTGATTCTAAACTCCTCATCAAATTCATATCTTCATATATATTACATAACAATATTAATTATACTAAAATTTAATCAATAATTATATATATAAATATAATATGTAGTCAGTTGATAGGGCATCAGAATTCTTAAAAATCTTATGTTAAAGTAGGGATGTCAAAATTACCATGAGCTTAGGTTAAAGTGGAGATGTTAAAGTAGGGATATCATATCTCTATAAAGATTAATAATAATATTATTTTCTGTATAATATTTTTTAATATATATCCAATTTAATTTTTTAATTCATATAAAGAAGCTTCGTGGGTGCCATAAAATCGGAAGTAGAGTCCTACGCAGTTTGCAGTTTATTTCTAGGTATAAATTTATCATTAAATTCAATCTTTGTTTGTTCTTTGTATTTAAGTGAACTAAATCCTTGGGTTCTTATCAAGCTCTCCTCTTTTAAAAAATCAGTAATTCTCAGTCTTCAAGGTAATGCTTTTTCTCTCTTTTTACAGTTAAGTTTCCTTCGATTTTTCTTTTATTAATTAAGATGATCGACTTGGATTTTGTTTCATGCCTTGTTATGATTTCAGGCTTGAATCATGGGAGCTTGTTGTTCTAGTTTCCACATCAGGGAACATGAAGAAGATGGTTCCCTTTAAGACGTTTTTGATTCTATGTATTCGTTGTTCCAGTCTTATGAATTTGTCCTTATGCAGTTGACCGGTGTAAACAGCGATGTGCAATCCGATACCCCGGCTTTGAATTCTCAAGTCTCAGCCCCTCTGAGTTCCAATGCTGCAACTAATGATATACAGTCCGACAATACTGTCACATTGGCTCCAAGGGTCTTGCATTTCGGAGAAGATACCTCATGCTCCTTCGAGGAAAAGGATCATCAACAGATTAAAATACGGGAGAATGAATGTAAAGGAGACAAGTCGAGTGGACTTCAATGCGAAGGAAGACGGACGGTAGAGTCCCGGTTGAAGTTCTCAAATGAGAAACCTGAAGCTGAAGTTGCTTCTGCCTATGGATCATCAGAGGATAAGTATGGTTGTCCCACGTCTTAAAGGTAAATAAGCGCCTTTCGAATTGTTGATTCCTTAATCAGCTTATATTAGATATACATTGTCTTAATTCGACTGACTTCGCCTATCTATTTTCTGTCGCATAGTATGAACCTGAAAATCCACGAATAGTTTAATGTTCCCACAGTTACCACCTTGGTTGCATATACGAGTGGATGGAGAGATCAGCAAACTGTCCAGTTTGTGGAAATTAGGTAATGTGTTTCTTACAAGCTTCGGCAATTGTTCCATAATCCTTAAGATTTAACAGCTGTTTTAAGTTCTATCAACCATTACCGAACATTTTATTCTTGAGTGTTGAGAATCGAATACTAAATCAGGAACTTTTAGCTCCTCATATAATATGGTAGATGAACAATTCTAGTGTCATACTTCGTCTAGCATGCTTAGTTTGATTCATTTGACCTTTTCCTACAACATATGACTGATTATCGATTGAATTTGCAGAAGATGATGTTTGATGAAGCAGCTTGAAATCGGATCACCGGAGACACAAATACTGAACATTAACATGATTTTTGAATTAATTTTAAGGGTACATGTCAATAAGTTTCTTGGTTTGTACTTGTAGTTTGACAAGCAAGAATTACAGATTACTGCATTACCATTCATACAATGGTATTAAACAATGAATCTTTTTCCTGATGCAAATTGCCTTATGATAGGCACAGCAACTGATGATTAATAACTAGAGTAATACAAGATCCAGATATACACTTATCATCCGCATAGATACCTATATAACTATATATATAGATATGTATGCTAAGTTAATGCAGACATAAAGGCATAAGTCTTTATTAACATAAAGTCGTAAACCGAAAGCATTGATAAAATCGTACCGAATTTCAGGCAGCAAAGCATCCCAGATGGCATGAATAAATAGGTTCCAGAGTAAGATCAAGTTCATTCCTCCTCATTTCTGTTGCTTCTTCCTGGTATGTGCCACTGCATCAGTCAAATCTTTAACCGAGTTATTGTCACTTTCATTATAGACACTAGAAAATAGGTCCCAGATGGCATGAATAAGTACCCGATATTCAGACAGGGCGGAGGCTGTGGCAGCAGAAAGGATGATGAGTTGAGGCCATGGTCTTGCTGCCCCCACTGCGACTGCTGCTGCTGCTGCTGCTGCGCGACTGTCTTCTCCCTCTCCTTGATCTACACATGCAAAAGAGATTGCAAACGTCAAGATTCATACCTCGTGTTTACATTCCATATATCGAAATTCATACAATTGATTCAATAACGAAAACTGGATAAATTGATGGGGGAAAAACATGTCAAAGGGTAAGGTAGTCACCTGCTTTGCTAGCATGGTATTGTGCTCCTGTATTGCCTTCTCCTTCATATAGGCACCACAGATAAAGATGACATTTCAAAAACCTAAATCGATTTAGCTTCGAGTTCATATAACGCACAGCATATATGTTCTAAGTGTCCTTACCTTTCTTTGAAGCTCAGAGATTGACTCATACATGAGTTGGTTCTGCAGAAAAATTGAAAGGACACAAAATTCATCACTAAAGCAACAAGAAAACAAATCTAATGGTAAAGACAATATAATGGGGGGGGAAGAAGCATGCTTTTTTTGAACGAATAAGCTTAAGAGCAGTATCAAGCTGCTGTTCCAAATTCTGCAGCTCCTTCAGACTCAGTGAGTCCAATTCTTCTCCCATGTAATGCCTGGAGAACAAATAAAGCCCCCATGTAAGATATGGAAGTTTTGATTTTCAACTATACCGCTATAATATTCGTATTTGACACATATTCGGATATGATCAAATGAACTTATGCTAGTACGTACCTGTGATTTCTCTGTAAGAGCTCAACCTTAGCCTTAAGCCTATTGTAATCCATGGACCAGTTGCCCTGTCACAAACAGGTTTCAAATTCCAACACAATTTTCAGACCAAAATTATTGTACCGAAAGACAAAACCTAAGATTCTGTAATGAAACGACAGCTGTAACCATTAAAAAGCCGGGGGAAAACGTAAACTTCAAATCAGATAACCCCCCAAACCCTTTTTTGCTGTCAAAATGCCATTTGCAAACACTGTTATAATATAATTAAGATGGTAATCATCATGGAAACTTGCGAAACATCAACTGAGTGCAAGACGTATTTTGGTACCTGAGGATCAGACTCAGAAGCAACAAGCTGTCTCTCTGCATACGAATACCTTTCATAACGTTCAAGGATCGTTTCCATGCTGTTGCAGAAGATATCAGTCTCTAATGGACAGTATTTGCTTTCCCAAGTAAAACATATATACGCATGTGTATGTACAATCGTTTCTTTTCTTAAAAAAAAGTCATATCCTTTTCACGTGTATAGTTAGAATTTTTTTCTTAAATTTTCATGTATGTGTAGAATCTTTCAATATCATATTAGGGTAGTAGTCTTAATATCATCGGCTTTCGAACTTCAAACCCTGGACAATCTAATCCCTTTCCCATTATTAAAATATCTAGCTAAAAAATGAATAAAAATTGAACACAAATTGCAAAGATGTTCACCATTCTTGGTTACTAATTACTTTAGTTCTGATTGATATTATTAGGCCTGAAGTGGCATTGGTGACTTACAAATCACTTCATTAGCTTGTTTTAGGGTTATATGTAGCAACACTTGTTGATGAAGGGACATTGGAATTTCAAGAGTAAAAGTTATTCCTTTGTGCCCAAACCCTACTCTCTTCTTCTTCTTTTTTGCAAAAATCCTTATTTTTCTGAAAAAAATTGCTAAAATCCCTAATTTTAGAACAAAGGAAAACCCTTTTTTCTCAATACCATGTATATATATATGTATATGGGTTTTCGCAAACAATGTAGGCATAACCATGCTGTTATGGTCTTTCTTGTTTCTATCTTTAGAAGAAAATATGTTTCTCACCATGATTTTTTACTTTACAGATGCCAAAAGATGGAATTCTGTGCATTCAACAGATGCTTTGTATTTTCTCTTAATTGAGAAAGTTATAATTTGACCATCGGTTTGTATATATATATATATATATATATTATTTCTTCTTCTTCCATTGGTCGATAACTTTCTTTTACCCCCCAAAGGTTTCCATTCTTTTGCTACTTCAGCATCCCCGAAACACTTGTAAATTCCATTACTGATATAGTTATAGTCACGTTTTCAAGGTCTCCTTTTCGCGTGAAACTCATTAACATTCCCCTTAATTTCACCTGCTAAAACTTTTGCATGAAACCCAGGAAAGCTGCTGAAGAACTTTCAGCAGGTAAAAAGCAAGGAGAAAGTTTACCTGGAATCACTAGAGTATTCAAAGAGCTTCCCTTTGTGGGAGAAGACGATCAAAGCAACCTCAGCGTCGCACAAAATGGAGATCTCATGAGCTTTCTTCAGCAACCCAGATCTCCTCTTGGAGAAAGTGACTTGCCTGTTGATTTTGTTCTCGATCCTCTTCAACTGAACCCTACCCCTCCCCATGAGCAAAAAACCCAGAAAACGAAGAAGATGAAGATGGATGAAACTAATTCTATTTTCTTCCTGTTATTGTTTGGTAAATGTGAAGTGTTTAACTGGGAAAGCATGCACACATATATAGAACTGGAAAATGAAGAGAAACTAGAAAGAAAAAAACCTGAAAGTAGAAGTGGTATTAGGGGAAAGAGGAGAGGGTTTGGACTTTAGAGTTAAAAACCAGAGTGGTTTTTAGGGATGTGCTGTCGGATTCTCATTGGTTAGAACGTAACAGTTCAGTCGTTACCGTCTCGTTTTGGAACATAGCCTATAGATGCCGTCAGATATCTGTACGGAGACCCTTCGTTGTCACACACTTTCCAGCTGACGGCGGAGATCTTTCCCTCTTAAAACAAGATATTATATTATTATATGTGATTAATATGCCTTTAATATTTATTTTAATGGAACTCTAAAATGGTAATTTAATCTATTAACTATTTGTCTAGAATTAAATACCTGCAATTGAGGGTAGAGTTAGGGAGGTACATTAATTTTATGTAAAAGCTAGTGCTCGTGAATTAATATATTTAATGAGAGTGGTAGCATAGTAAATATCTTATTAGGAATCAAGTTTATCCATAAATCTGATTAGATTTGAAAATATATATTTTAAGTAAAAAATTGTATTTAATAATAAAAAAAATTATAAATTTAATCATTCAATTTTTTCTCACTCTTATTTTAATCAATATAATTAAAAAGTAATAGTTTACTCACTACTTGATTTCCTCGTATTTTGGTGATTATAATTCTTTTTTTTTTGGTGAAAAATCTTCAAGTTTTAAATTCTCTTTGATTTCTCGATAATGAAATATATTCTTTCAAATTCCAACAATGAAGGACGAGGAAACGAGTTGTATATCTTGATTCCATATTGATCGAATTATGCTTGTTATAAATCAGAATAGTTTAGGATTTTTTGTGTTTTAAAGTGATTTGAGTAAAACCTAAACTGATAGAGTGGTAGAAGATGATAAGATAAGTTGGTTGATATCTCGAGTTGTATGTAGTAACTCTATGTTGATTTGATGATAGATATTATAGTTTGAAATGGTTAAAGTTTCTTGAGTTTTGGACTTGGTGTTGAATTTTATGACTTTCAAGGTGACTTAGGAGAAATCTAAATTGATAGAATGGTAGACGACGATGAGTCAAGTTCAACGTACCTTGTGTTGTATATCTTGATTCCATACTGATCAAACAGTGGATATAGATCAAAATGGTTTAGAATTTATGAGTTTTGGTTTTAGGGTTGCATTTATTGAATTTTAAAGTAATTCAGGTAAAATCTAAACTGATAGAGTAATAGGATATGATGAAAAGAGTTCGTCGATATCTTGAGTGATTGGTGAATGATAATTGAAGCATTAGGGTGAAATAAGGATAAAATTTATCCTTTGAGAAAAAGGATAAAATGAAAAGGAATAAAGAAAGAGAAAATAATGTGGATGTCATGGTAACAAAATTCAATTTACATCAATACACATTATTGTAATGTTACTTTTTTTTTTTTACTTAATTCTCGAACGATTAAAATAGAAATAAAAAGATAATTAAATAATAAATTTACAATTTATATTGAAAATATGTAATTGAAATTCGATTCACCCTAGCGGAAATCAAGCAAAACAATTTTAATGGTAGTACAATTAATGTGCATGGTGACCTTAGAAGTTCGAGATAAAGACACCTCTTGGAGAGTATCATAGAAGTTTCTCGTTTCGACCCTCAACATTATGGTTAAATCTTTAATGGCAAAGGATGAAAATGTAAAAGGGAGAAAGGGTCAGGGGGTCGGTCGAAATTAATTTTCCAGTTTTGTACCCTTTTACTAGAATAGCAATTCTTCTTCTTCTTCTTCTTCTTCTTCTTCTTCTTCTTCTTCTTCTTCTTCTTCTTCTTCTTCTTCTTCTTCTTCTTCTTCTTCTATTATAATATTAAATTATATACGTAATGTAACAGTCATATTACAATAATTTTTAAGATCACTGAAATATCATGATTATGTTCGTAATTTAGAAACATAATACTCTTTCCGTCCTATTCTATATTATGCAAAGTCACAACGTTTCAATTATTTTCTTGATCACCCATTTCATTTCTCTCCCCCTTCTTACCAAATAAAGACACATTAGTAGTATTATTTGAGATTCCTCCGTATGAACTTATTCATGTTAAAAATGGATGACAAAGGAAAGTGACATGTCTTATTGAAGAAATAGAAACAAAGAAACACTGTTCGAAAACAGGTTCTATATGTAGACATAAATCTAGTGAAAAATAGGGCAGCCCTAGTCTAAAAGATGTCAAATCTTATCACAATAATTTTTTTCATCTTCATAGTGCCATACGCATTTTTGCTTTTGTTGTGCACAAATTTCATATCGCTGGCAATATGGTAACATATATAGCGAAACCAACGGAATCTCACCCTCGTGGGTTCAAATTCGAAGCATATATATATATATATATATATCATGATTCATTTACACAATGTAAAATTATTTTTGTTTTAAACATATTTAGAATTATTGGATGAGTGAAAACTTACACGGTGTAAATTTATTTTAATTTAAGACCGTTAGATGAACGAAAATAAATGATTGAGATTAACTCTTTATTTTCTCATTTCTTATTATTAATCTCATTCATTTATTTTCACCAGGTGTTCCAAATTCAAGTAAAAGTAAAACTAAAAGAATTTTATATTGTATAATCAAATATCCATATATATATATATATATATATATATATGCACATGTATGAGTGTATTTCCATTGTCACGCTGACTTTACACACACGTGAAGCAGTGGCAGTGGACAAAGCAATAAGTATCCTTTAGCTGGAACACGATGATATTCACTGTTTTTGGTCTTCATCAATGGTTCTAACCCTTGGGGGAAAAGTTCATTTGGAAAATGTGAAATGTCACCTTTTTTTTCCTGAGTAGTTATAAGAGTGTTGAGTCAAGTCTGATCATATATTTTTTTTCCTTGGATAAATTTTTCATCCACAGTGAAGAAGGAAACGATGAGTCTTTACATTATTAGTTTTTAGGGTTGAGTCAAAAGATTCGATTTTTTCCGAGTTGAATCGAGTTATACTCATCCTTAGCTAGGTATGCCCTTCTTTGAACAAAGCACGGGAGTAATTAAACACATATCATACGAGTAAACACTTGGTATTTTTACATTATTGGAGCTTCGCCCCATACTCCAAACTATGCATGCGTGCATCCGACATAAGAGATACAACAAAATATAGGTTGAAACATGGAATGTGCATAAATTATTCTAAATTTCTTGATTTCTAATCACTTTCATATGAGAAAATATAGAATCCTTTTAATTAAACCTCAAACAATCAAAGCATCCAACCAGGGATGAACCCACTTGGTGCAATTGCAGAGCCTATAGCAGTATCCTCATCTGTTATATTACTAGGATTATAACTGCACCGAGAAAAATAAATTTCAGAAGTACATAATTGACATAATCAGCAAAGAAATTAAAATACATACCCCATTTGCAGAGAAATGTCGCAATGTAGAGGCTCGAAAAATCCATCCGACTGAGGCGGCACCGGCGGTGGATGGTTGTGTGGAACGCTTTGCTCCCCAGTTTCCCAAGTCGATCGGATCATGGAACTACTTTCCTCCAGCTGCCAAAGTATTGCAAACGTACGTAGCAAATGCTATTAAGATCGATTACAGTCAATATCAGACGTAAAATATTAAGGCTTTCGAAGATTTTCTTTTACCTTCCTTCTCAAGTTTCTGTTGGTTTCCAGTAGGACTTCTTCCTGTATAAAGAATATATCAATGGCATTTGGTGGATCATATTCATACCTTTGTTGAAATATATTAACATACCTTTGTTTGCAGTTCAGAAAGTTGGTCGATCATCATCTGCATCTGCATTCATGAAAGAGAAAACTGAGATACTATTTTGTGACCTAAATCATCTAATTGAATGAAAAAAAGAAGTTGATTTTGATTACCTTTCTAGACCTGATTTTCCTCAATGAGAAGTCCAACTGATGCTCAACCTGCTCCAGTTCCTTGGTGCCCAAATCACCCAAATTCTCCCCAAGAAAATGTCTACACGTGACAAAAGTACATATTTTCCACATGAACAAGCAACTTATTTTATGAACAATATGACCAAGAGAGACGGTTTAATTCACCTCTGAGAATGCTGAAGGACCTCAACCTTTGCTTTCAGCTTCAGATATTCCTGGTACTTGCTCTGCTTGACGTAACATGCATCAGCACTTTTGGATTTTTTTTAGAGCCTGAGGCTGGTATAGAAGAGATTAATTTAATTCACCTGAGTGTCAATTTCTGATTGACCAGGTTCCAATGCTCCATAAGTGTAGCTATTGTACTTCTCAAGTATCTTAGCCATGTTGCTTCCATAAAACATGCAAAGGAAGGAGGTTAGTATATGACAAATCCGAACCAAACATGCGTGATCGGAGATGGACGCAGTATTTTATGTCTGTGGTGCAAACTTAAGATATTATATTAAAAGTTTTGTGGTACGAAATTAGATCATCAATAAAAATACAAAAAACATTTAAACTATATGAAAAGTTAAAATTTACAGGAAGTGTGATCGTATCTCAACACTCTTTGGTCTATCTCTACACGTGATGGTAGGAGAACTTGACATTCTCAGGAACTCTTCATACCTTTAAGCCAAGTCCTCGTCGGCAACATAGTGTGCGCCTTGATTCTTATAATTCTTCAAAGTTTTAGATTATTAGAAAACTATATGCTTGGCTAATTACTGGGACAAAAAGCACAAAGTATGGGTATTTTCTTTTGTCTTCTAAGAATTTACCTTTTGTTTTGTGTCTGTCATCTTTTACTTTTATGCTACCTTTTATTGGGGCAATTTTTGGCTACTTTATCCTTGATAAAATGCTTCTTTTACTCTTTGTTTTTGAAATTCAAGGTAGGGTTCATTGATAGAGAAAAAGAGTGAGGAAACTCATCAATTTCTAACAAAAAATCTATGACAGGACGGGATAAGGAGTTAAGTTTTATAAGCAAGTTCAGACATTTGTATATTAATATTATAAATGAAATAAAAGATTTATTCTTATAATAAATTTTGACAGTATTCATTCTAACTTGATTAACTATTAGATCAGTAAGCAATAATTATACCAAAAACTAGTCACAAACATATATAAGAATACAAAGACCTTTACATAGGAAATAATACCGCATCATGTATGCTATACAATTATATTATTATTTCAATAATAGTTTTTTCCTTGGAACTAATTTTTCTGAAATTTAATCATTTAATTGATTTATATAATATATTTTAGATAATATTCAAAGGAATAGAATGTTTCTCTCATTTGGTAATTGAAAATTTCTTATATATATATATATATATATATATATATATATATATATATATGAAAGCTTAAATATAATATTAAGATTTTATCATTTTTTTTGGTTTAAGATCTTCTAGAATTGAGTAAAGTCGGATTTTTTTATTAGTCTGGGATGATTACATGATAGTATATATTTAAAAGAGTTTTAGTAGTTTAACAATGAACGTTCAAATACCCCTGTAGATGTCGTGCTAGAACCCATAAACTCTAGAGATAACAATTATCCCTTTAACTACTAAGATCACTTGATTCTTACAATAAAGTCAAATTCTTATATAGGATCAAAACTCTTCCAAAACTAATTTTCTTAATCTATAAGAAAAAAATTAAATTCTTTAACACTCGACTCAAATACATAAATTTCATAATTAACTCTAGAAAGTTAGGAACGAAAGATAAATGTATAGATACTGCAATAAGACAAAGACACACATGGCATAACAATAAGAGGACAATGTATTATACAAGCAAATATGTGAAGATCAGTTAAAGATATTGTCCAGACAATGTATTATATGTGTAACCGTGTCAAGAAGAGTCAAAGATATTGTCCTTATACATGTTCATATCGATGTGTACATGTGTTGAATGTCTTTTGGTTAAAGGTTGGGCTCATTTGTAGCAACATCAAATGATGAAACAAGATAAAGATACCTTAAAGCTGCAATGGATTTCTACGTTTTAAGCTAACTATTTCACTTATTCAAAGATGGCAACATCATTTTACATTTCCCAAGACCCTTAATCATCCCTCCCAAGCCATCATCAAACCGTGTGCAGAACAACTTCAAACACTAAAAGGGCAAACTTTTCCTATGAAAACGAATCTGCACTAATTCCATGAAATCATGTATAAATAGATCTCTGTGAACAACATATCCATGAAGAAGAAGATGATGATGAAACACTAAACTGATTCAAACCCATGACTTAAAATCAACAGCAACAACAAAGGGAAATGAAAACAAAGAAAAGCAGATAACCCAGATTGAGATTTTTCAAAGAAAACCAGATATATATATATATATATTATATATACCTAGAAGTGCTGCAAAACTCATAGAGCTTGCCACGATTGGAGAAGATGATGAGAGCAACCTCGGCATCGCAAAGAATCGAGAGCTCATAAGCCTTTTTCAGCAACCCATTCCTCCTCTTTGCAAACGTTACTTGTCTGTTTATCTTGTTCTCGATCCTCTTCAATTCCACTTTCCCCCTCCCCATTACTGCAATATTTTTATTATGAAACGAAACAGAAACCCAAATTCCCTGATCTCTTCTATTTAGGGCAACAAGGTGTACCTCTTCTTTTTGTTGTTGTTTATGAGAATGTATGAGGGAAGTCTAATACACCATAGCTATTAGGTTTTCACTGTTTCGTACCTGAAAGAGAAAAAGGTGGGGAACAGTAGCGTTTTAATGTATTTATCTTCTTCCAGGGCCTTTAACTTTTAGCTAGCTTAAAAACTACATCCCTACCATCGCCACCTACATATTTATACTTCATAATATTTCTTCACGTAGCAATACGGAGTTTGATTAATTATATGTAAAGTTAAGTCCTGTCAGATCTTTAAACACAGTTACAATCTTTCAATATTTCATTCAACTTTAGATTAAGTTTTATTTTAGTCGTTCAAGTTAATCTAATAACCATTGAATGATCTTAATGGTTAAAGAATATTATTTTTATTTGAGATGTTAGATTCTAACAGCTGCATCTATAATGTATATGTGTATTATTTATGGTTAAGACTTAAGATTATAAATATATATTATATTGTACTCACCCCAAATAATTTTTAAAAAAAAGCTATTTTAATTATTTATTTCTCAAATTAAATATTTATTATTAAATCATTAACAATTAAATGACATATGAAAGTTAAATAAATATTTTTTTGTTATTTTTTCACATTTTCTTCATCAAATATAAGATTTTCTTCAATTTTAATTGTCACTAGAAATTGTCATTATGTGATGTATTTTTATGTCACTCTAGACAATAGTGTTGGATCTAGAAATTAAAAAATAGGTTCAAAATCTTAATTATCACTAAAAATCATCGTTTTCGATCTATTTTAAGAAAAATGGGTATGCAAATTTCTTTTTTTTTTTAATTTCCCTTTATATATTAAATTAGATTTAGTAGTTAATCACTATTATTTATCACTCTACCGTTTAGATTTTTTTCAAAATCTTTTTTAAAACTCACAATTAAATATAGAAAATTCACTATTTTGAGGTTTAAGGACTTTATTAAATTTAAGGGATTTTGGATGTTTGTTTTAACATTTAAATTGCGAGAAATATTTTTCTAATAAGAAAAACAACGTATCTTGAAATCGATCTCATTGAATGGTCCCTATATGAGATTGAAGCATTTAAAGACTGAATATTTGTATGTATTTTCATCAATTTAAGTGGAATTCGTGTAAAATTAAACTTAACAAAAAAGAGAGAGAAATATGAACGTCTTAATATTACTTTTTGTCAAAACAAAGATAGAAAATAAACAACGATGGTTGGAGTGATTTAGGACCTTTTATAAAAAGACATACGAATACAATGATCATGTTATTCTATCATCAATAATCTTACAATCTAGTGTTATAAATAATTATTTTTTATAATTTGATGATTAAAATAAATTAAACCCTAAATTTAGTGATTACTAACGCAGTGTACCTACTATTTTCCTATTCAATATATATATATATATAAGTTAACTATATCTAAATCAAATTAATTTTTTAACGAAATTAAAATTCTCTCAATATTATTTTTCTTGGGAAAGATATCAAATATATATACTCGTGAGACATCCGACATCCGACATCCGACATCCTACTATTCGATGGTCAAGCTTTGCTTTTTATCTTCTTCTTTAATTTTTATTTTTGTTGGTTGATTTAGTTTGAGTTGACAACTTGACTTAAACATCAACCTTAAACATTTCCTACTTATTAAGTTGGGTCGAACTAGAATTTCAGTCTACTCAAATATGATTTGAATATAATCTTTTTTTTATTTAGTTATAATATTATTCATGATCGGGTCAAATATTTTTTACATTGAATTCAAATTTAATTTGATCTGATTTTTATAAATTAATGTCCTAATTTATAAAATTAGGATCAAATATCCGTTCCTACTTATGACAATGGCCATTATACTCCTAACAAGATACTTTTAGTTACCACAATTATCTTTGGTTTGAAAACTTGTCTAAAATTTATAGACGATAAGACTGATTGATTTTAGTAAGATTATTTATCATATCGATAAAATTAAATAAAATATATATATATTGACGTGACATGATTGTTTCATATGATGGAATTTTTGGTTCAAAGAATATGATGTTTCTAAAAAGTAGGCAGGAATTGGTTCCTAAAATCCTAAACATTGGTTAGTATAATCAAAGGCAAGATAGTCAAAGGATGCTTAGTATAAATAATCGTATCTGATCCACATTTTATCTGTTATGTGATATAATTTTCTAACCGTAAAAAATAAGACTCTCTTGCTTTGGTTAATATGTGCTCTAAGTCCCTGTATTTTTTATACATTTAGAATTTAGTTTTCTAACTTTTTTAAATTTCAAAATTCAAGTCTAATTATTAATACTGTTAAAAATCTTGAGAGAAAATTGACGAAAAAACATTAAACCGCGATTAATTATCCTTAAATTATCGCTTTTGAAATTAACTAAATTACGACCAATTTCACCTAATGTCCTTAAGGGACCAAACTGATGACTAACGTTATAAAGATGGGTAAAGTTTCAGACATCGAAGATGCTTGGTATGGCTGTCGAGTGATGATGTTGTCATCCATCTTTTTATGAATTACAATCATATGTGCCCCAAAATGTTTTAATGGTTACCCTCCCCCGAGATAATCGTCTTCTTTAAAGATCTTTTGTCCTAAACTTTTCTATGGGCAGATTACTCTATAGGTTCGGTTTGAATTATGGATTAACTATTTAACTCTTTCAAGAGTACACATTGTGAGAGAATTACTTACATTATTGAAGATGAATATAGGGATGGAAATATCTGGAAGTTGTTGCGGAAGACGACTATCGGATAGAGCAAATTTGCAACTGATCATTTGAGAAAACAAGAAATAAAGATAAAGAAGACACAAAATTTACGTGGAAACCCCTAAAATAGGGTAAAAACCACGGGCAACGGTAGAATAATTTCACTATGAGAAAATAGGAATTACAACTTCTCTCTATCTACCAAGGAGAAAACAATGATAATTTTCTCTTAATAAAAAGGAGAAAACAACTATCAAGAAACTCTCTAAATTCTCTAGTATTGGAAGAAAGCTAGAATGCTTTGGGATGGTTTTGAAGCTAAATGAGCTAGGGTATTTATAGTTGAAGCTTAAGGACTAATTTGTAAATATCCTAAATTACAATGACTAAAAATGATTTTTCCATTTTCTAAAAAATTCAACAAATGCTAGCTAATTTTCGGTGCCATTAATTGTGCACTTTCGGTGCCATGTGCACCACCTAGCTTGACTTTTCAACAATCTCTCACTTGAAGATTTGATAGGAACAATCATATCTTCACACCATTCTTTCTACCTTGTACCTTCATGTTGCTTACGTCTCTGACAGGCCACAAGAGGATCGACACCAAGTAAATTTATCAGCATTGATCGCCTTCGTCATGAAATCTGCTATGTTGTCTTTGGTATGAATTTTCTGCATATCTATTGTTCCTTCTTCTACCTTTTCACGAATGAAATGATATTGAACTCGTATGTGCTTTGTCCTTGAATGAAATGTTGGATTCCTTGCTAAATGCAAGGTGCTTTAACTGTCACAAAACAAAGAGATATACTCTTGGTTGTGCCCAAGCTCCTCCAATAACATCTTCAACCAGATTGCTTCTTTACTGGCTTGTGTAACTGCTACATATTATGCCTCTGTTGTGGATGTAGCCACAACTGACTGCAATTTTGAAACCCATCTTACAACTCCACCATCAATTTTGAACACATATCCTGTAGTAGATTTGCTTTTATCCAAATCCCCTCCATAGTCAGAATCAACATACCCATTGATAAGTAAATTTGATCCTTCGTAACATAATGCAATATTTGAGGTCCATTTGATGTATCTCAGGATCCTCTTTATTGTATTCCAATTCTCTTTGTTTGGATTCGCCATGTATCGACTAACCACTCCCACTACTTGTGCAATGTCTGGTCTTGTGCATATCATAACGAACATTAAACTTCCCACTGTCGATGCATACGGTACTCGAGATATCTCCATCCTCTTTTCTTCACTGTTAGAACTCATACTGGAGGATAATTTGAAGTTAATAGGAAGAGGGGTAGAAATTGGCTTACAATCTTGCATGTTGAATCGTGACAAGATCTTCAACAAGTAATTCTTTTGTGAAAGCCAAATCTTCATATTACTTCTGTCTCGATGAATATGCATCCCTAGAATCTTGTTTGCTGATCCCAAGTCCTTCATTTCAAATTCCCTAGCCAGTTGTGCCTTCAATTCTTTAATATGATATTTGTTGGGTCTTGCAACCAACATGTCATCCATATACAACAACAATATAACAAAATCGTTATCATCAGACCTCTTGAAATAAGCACAAGGGTATGCATTAAGTCTGTTGTATCTAAGGCACATAATGAAGGAATCAAATCTCTTATACCAATACCTCGGTGCCTGCTTTAGACCGTACAAAGATTTGTTCAACCTACAAACCAAGTTCTTCTTTTCTTTTTCTTCAAAACCTTCAGGCTGGAGTATGTAAATCTCTTCTTCAAGATTTCCATGAAGAAAAGCTGTTTTAACATCTAGCTGCTCTAGATGTAAGTTCAATGTAGCACACATTGCAAAAACAACTCGAACTGTTGTTAGTCGAACAACAAGAGAAAAAACTTTCATTGAAATCAATACCTTCTTTCTCGGCATATCCTTTGACCACCAGTCTTGCACGATACCTCTCCACTTGATCGTCACCATTTCGCTTGATTTTGAAGACCCATTTGTTACCAATTGGCTTCTTTCCTTGTGGTAGTGGCACAAGGTCCCATGTATTATTTTTATGAAGGGCTTCGATTTCTTCTTGCATCGCCATCATCCACAGTGAAGCATCTGAGCTGTTTATTACCTCCTGGTATGTTGATGGCTCACCGTTCTCTGTTAAAAGGTAGTATGTAATATTACCTTCATAATCTGAGTACCAATTGGGACGTCTTCTCACACGATCTGATTGACGAGTTGTTGGAGCTTCAGAACTCTCTTGTTCTTGTTCATCGTGTGATGGTTCTGCTTCAGAAGAATCTCCTTGTTCAACCTCTTTTTCCACATGTATATGTGTAGT